TGGGAGGGAGGAGGAAGGTGGGGTCCTGCTCAGTGGAGGGGCTGAGCCCCGGCCTTACTTGTCCACGGAGCCCTCCATGTAGTAGACCATGGGGAAGCAGCAGATGGCCTCCAGGAAGTGGTGGTCGGGCCTGGGGGGACAGCAGGTCCTGCGGGTGCTGTCCTGGGGAGCAGGACTGGGCAGGGCAGGGGTTCCTGGGGGCTTGGGGGCCTTTAGAGGCCAGGGCGCTGCTCATTTCTCTTAGGGGAAACCGAGGCCCTGGGGGACTTGCCCAGGCCAGACAACCAAAGCTGGACCTGGGCTCTGGGCTGCCCGGCTTCTGGGGGGTCCTGGGGCTCACGGTTGTGTGGGGGGCACAGGGACATGAGAACCTATGAGAGAAGACGGACAGATATCAAGGGACAGAGGGTGCGGGAGCCAGAGCTGGTGGGAGGCCGGGGGCGGCGGGTGAGAGCCGGGTGCCCTCAGGGCCATGCCCTCCGCCTGCCCCCTGCCTGCCCGGCGCCCCAGGCGGCCCACCTGTTGTCCAGCAGCAGCACGATGGGGTTGAGCTCCTTGCGGGACCGGTAGTAGGCCCGCAGCGGCACAATGAAGTTGTAGAGCCCGTTCCCCGCCGTCTCCGCCGAGACGATGATCAGCTTGTTCTTGAAGCCGTAGGCCTTGGCGTCTTCATAGCTGTTGTGCTTGCAGCCCTGCGGGGAGGGGACCACGCTGACGCTGCGGCCAGACCCGGCTCCCGGACCGCGCCCCCCTCCGCCCCCCCGGAACTGGGGCCCATCGAGGACGAGGACTCCTGGACCCCACACATTGGGAGAACGGCTCACGGGCCAGCCCCCGTGTCCTGACTGGTGAGGGAACTGCCATCTGGGAAAAACACGCCTCTAGGGTGGAAACGGGCGTCCAGGAAGGACTCGGGCCGGGGGGTGAGGGGGCGGGCCATGGGCCGAGCCAGGTCGTTAGTCGGTGTGGGGGTCGGGTCGTCCCCGTCACGTGTCCTTGCCGTCACATCTGTGCAGGCACACGGCCGGGACGGACCTACCTTGTCCAGCCGCAGACAGCAGAAGGGGGCCTTCTCGGGCAGAAGGTGGCACAGGGTGGGGGAGCTGCCGATGTAGGGAGAGTTGGGGGGGTAGCCCTTCACATACCTGGGGTGGACATGGGCGTTCAGCAAGGCCTGCCCCACTCCCCCGGGCCACGAGCTCCCCCACGCCCTCCGGGCC